AGTGAATTATATAATCAAGTAATTTTAAAATTATAGTAGGAGGGTTGCATAAAAGCTAAAATAATCAATTTTATTTTATTTATTTATTTATTTATTTATTTTTAAAGATTACAAGAAATTAAAAAGGTCAAATTCTATATTGAGGCCTAATGGGGTGAGGGTCTTCAAGTTGTAAGCCCATTCCATTTCTTTACTACCTAAGATCTTTTTTATATTGCCTCCTCTCCATGGGATTTCACACACATCGATACCTATACATTTAAGTAATTTGGGATTTTTATTATGCATTAAAAAGTTCTTGGATACTGAATGATTTTCATAACCTTTAGAGATGTTACGACAATGTTCCGCTAACCTAATTTTAAGATTTCTGGTTGTCATACCAACATACTGGAGCCCACATGGGCACTCCAGTAAGTAAATCACATTTTTTGTGTTACAATGGATAAAATTATTTATTTGATAAATCTTCTGTGTGGCGGATGACGTAAAGGAAATGGTCTTTGATCTAATAGTCGTATTATCCTAACTTGGGAATACATTCAATCCCTTATTCATTTTTTAGATTTAGAAATTTTTATCCAAAACAATCAATTGCAAACAAGGACTTTTTTTAAAGAAAGTATGTACTAATAATGCCATTGACATGTCTAGTTGTCACCACAAACCCTGGCTCAATGGGATACCAAAAAGTCAGTTCCTCCGTCTTCGGAGGAATTGTTCCCTTATTCAGGATTACGATGACCAATCGAATACTTTATTAAATAAATTTGCCCAAAAAAACTATACCGTTAACGAGCTTAACACAACTAGAAATACTGTTAAAGAGAAACATAGATCAGATCTCTTAGAATATAAAGATAAGACAACCACTGAGTGTGTCCCATCATTGCCAATCATTTTTGATTTTAACAACAAAAGTCATGTTGTAAAAAAAATCATAAATAAATACTGGCATATATTAAAACAGGATGATATTCTGGCTGGGATTATTCCTGATAAACCTCATGTTATATTTAGAGGAGCACCCAGCTTCAAATCTATCCTCACAAATAACTTTACTAAAGCAAAAAACATTGCCTCCCATTTGAATTCCCCCTCCCCGTTTACTAAACCTAAAGGTTTTTTTAAATGTAATAAGTGCATAGCCTGTAAACGAACTGATGCGACTATTAGATCAAAGACCATTTCCTTTACGTCATCCGCCACACAGAAGATTTATCAAATAAATAATTTTATCCATTGTAACACAAAAATGTGATTTACTTACTGGAGTGCCCATGTGGGCTCCAGTATGTTTGTATGACAACCAGAAATCTTAAAATTAGGTTAGCGGAACATTGTCGTAACATCTCTAAAGGTTATGAAAATCATTCAGTATCCAAGCACTTTTTAATGCATAATAAAAATCCCAAATTACTTAAATGTATAGGTATCGATGTGTGTGAAATCCCATGGAGAGGAGGCAATATAAAAAAGATCTTAGGTAGTAAAGAAATGGAATGGGCTTACAACTTGAAGACCCTCACCCCATTAGGCCTCAATATAGAATTTGACCTTTTTAATTTCTTGTAATCTTTTTTAAAAAAAATAAAAAAAATTAAAAAAAATTGATTATTTTAGCTTTTATGCAACCCTCCTACTATAATTTTAAAATGACTTGATTATATAATTCACTGTATTTGTTATTATTTTTCTTAATTTATTTTAAGTACGTCCTTTTATACTTACCTTTTTTAATGTATTATATTATTGTATTTCTATGCATACATATATTGTATTTTATTAATGTTACAGTTGTATCTATGTTTAGATTTTGTTCTAATAGTATTCACCTACATTAATCTATTGGAATATGTTGACAGCCTCTGAGGGATTTCAAACTTGTAGAGTGCGTGTTCCTAGTCTAACACTCTACTGGTGCAGCCACCTGCACCATATAATGATGTGCTAGCCTTTTCTGAGTATTGAACCTGCTTGTCTGATCATAAACCTCAACCCAGAGGTTCCTACTTAACCTAATATCACATGACATGTTTTTATTTACTTCCGTGTCACGTGACGTTATAATTTATATAATTTATTACACTGTAAAACCTCGTTTTTTAATATTTTGTGTACAAATAATGCTTCTGACTTCTATACTATATTTTAAACACTCTTATATTGACTTTTTATATTTTCCACATTTTTATTGAATTGTGTCCACTCCCATGACGCTGGTGACGTCATTTTGGCGGGAATTTCAATTTATCTGTGCAATTTTATGTTTTCTTATATAAGTGCTATATGTTAGGTCTGTTTTTCTCTTTTTATAAGTTTCCACTTGATGAAGCCTATTGTGGCGAAACGCGTATAGGAACTTTTTATATAATCTAAGTGTTAATAAAGGAATATTTGGCTATTATACATTTGGTTGCCACATTCCTCTTTCCACCTTAGTATTATATTACCTTCTTTTAGTATAATTTTATTATTTTACTATTTGCAAGTTTATTTTATTCAGACCTGACTACTACTACCTTTTTGTCCATATTGGAGTACCAAGAATCCTAAGGTGGGGATTATACCACCCATACGCCATCCACCGAGCAGTACGTCTGCTCTATATACCGTGAGTATATTTTATTCTGTTTTTACATTTTATCAACTATACAGTGAGCACTATATTTTATTCTTTTACCTCGAGCTGGACTACTCCACCAAAGTACTCTGCTAAAGAACAAAAGAGAAGCAACGTATATCCTTGAGTGGGGATTATTTCACTACGTGCCATTTACACCAGAGCTGGATATAAGCTCTGAATATTATACTATTCTATATACAATATTATTTTACCGTTCATACTATACCATTGGAGTTTCCCTTGTCTTCTGTTTTTTTCACATATCCATTTTGAAGCTGCGGATATACATCTGGGACTTCACATACCATTTTATGTAGCACTAGGACTACCTCCTGCATATGTGGATTATTTATATTCGGACTTTCTAGGTATCGCTGCTTGGACTCTCTGATACATATTTTTATACATTCATTCTACTTGTCTTAGGCGCACCCTTATTTGTGCTTTTCTCTCCATTGTATTCCAAGGGGCTTAGAGGGGATTCCCCTTTTCCATAGGTGTGCTGCCTTGCTGTCATATTCTCTGTTTTCCTATCAGCGCTGAACCTCCTTCCTGATCTCGAAAACATTTACGCATAGCTATAACCGTATATGATCTGTAATCGAATGCCGGTATTTGCGTAATTATGTACCGAACTACTATCTTGCTTGTGAACGTACTACGATGACGTAGACCGGCCGCGCCGGAAATTGCGACGGCCGTATAACTTACAGTTTTACCGCAACGAAAACCCCACGACCGCCTGAGCCCGCCGAACCCGGAGGAAACAGGACCCTGGAAGCTGACCACGGAGATACAGGTAAGCAGAGTGGCGTGAGGCCGACCGGAAGTGACAATCTCTCTCCAAGCAACTCGCCAGACCTAACAGGTAATGAGGGAAGGGCTGGTGCTCCTTAAGAAGGGGAACCAAACCCCTCCCACAACTTCAGGCCACGCCTTCCATATATATATGATCTAAGTACTTTTTTATATAGACATACACATACATAAATCATTATTAAAAGTGCATTTTAATATTAATCTATATAATATACACTGAGAATAAAGTACTGTGAAATGTGTTTGGAAATTGTTAACTTAGAAAAC